TTCTTTTTTTTTTTTTTTAAGAAAAAGAATTACAAGAAAAAATAGTTTTCTGCAGGCGCATTGTGCTTTCCTAACCCCCTCCCCTTTTTTTGGTTAAATAAAGTGCTTTTTGTCTAAAAACTGCGTGCTGGCCGCAGTTGTGTTTGTAGAGGAAACAAGTTGAAGAGGAACCGGGGTTGGCCTCTAAGAGTGGGGTGTGGGCCCCCCGAAGACTGCCCTTCTTGGGTTGCCTTGCAGAAAGGGCAATAGCAGGTTGAGCCCGGTTCCCTCTGGGAACATGGGGAGCAAGGCACCCGGGAGGGTCCCTGGGGACAGGTGTTTCCATGGATGCAGCCCGCCAGCACAGCAAACCCATGGCTGTGCCTCTCGGGAGTCCCCCCCGCCTTGATGCGCACCTGGCTGGGTCCTAGTCTGTCGGCGTCCCCCCAGGCGGAAACCTGGCCTGTGAAGGGAAATGGCACAAGTTCCAGTGCTTGGTGTGTGGCCGTGGCCTCCCAAGGATGAGGACGGGAGATGGGAGAGTGAGCTGAGGGGCCATCTGAGCTGTCTGGCCCAGGGGTAACCGTCTTGAGACATACTAGAGGGTTGTAGGGTTCCTTTTGGGTGTCTAGTTGGATGCTAACACAGATCCGGTTTCCCATTCAGGATCCAGAGGCCTGGGCCCACAGGCCCCAAGGGCAGCACCACTGGAGCCCTCAACAGCTCGCAGCCCCCCCAAGGCCTCATCCAGATTTGTTAGGAACCTACCCCTGTGGGTGGTGGCCCCCAATCAGCCCACCCTTGTGCTGCCTTGGCCCAGAAAGGGGCTGTCAGTCTGGGGTCTCCTGGGGAGTCAGCTTGGGTTAAAGCCTGGCCTCCTGTCACCAGGTCTCTTAACCTCACAGGCCCTGCACCCCTTCTGAGCCCTGTGTGGCCTCTGGGATGAGGGGAGAGGCAGAGCCCCCAGCCCCTCCCGTCACTGCAGCCTTTCAGTGACAGAGCAGCACTGGGCAAAATGTCTTCTGGAGCTGCTTCTGCCAAGATCTAGAAGAGGGGGAGCAAGAGGTCAGTTCTGAGTAGCAGCAGGGACCCTGTCCTCCAGCCCTCCACTGAGGCGGAAGCAGGTTAGCAGGCCTCTTCACTAAGAGCCCACAAAGGATCGGGAGGTGTGATGCCAGAGCCACGCGAGAGAAGAGGGAAATGGGTCAGTCAGGAAGGCTGCAACACAGCGTTCCGTATCACAGCTGGCCACTCGGCCACCCGAGCCCGGTGGAGACCCTGTCCCCTGGAGCAGGCCTCGGGAGGGAGGATGGTGTGGGGAACTGCCTCCTCCAGGCTGCTGCCCTCGCATCCCACCCCCGGCGGTGAGAGCCGGTTGCACAGGGCACTTCATTTTAGCCTCTGCAGCACTCCTACCTTCCACCGGAAAGAAAAGCAGAGAAACTGGGTGGGTCAGTTTAATAATTAAAATATCCCTGGGGTGCCTGGGTGGCTCTGTCGGTTGAGCTTCTGGCCTCAGCTCAGGTCACCATCTCACAGTCGGTGAGTTCAAGCCCTGCGTCCGGCTCTGTGCTGACAGTTCGGAGGCTGGAGCCTGCTTCGGGTTCTGTGTCTCCCTCTCTCTCTGCCCCTCCCCTGCTCGTGCTCTCTTTCTCTAAGATAAATAAACGTTAAAAAAAGAATTAAAATATCCCTGCTCCCCACCCCCACCCCCCTGCCCCAGGAATATATACGGCTGGATAGGAGTTGAGCCATGGTTAATGTGGTTAACGGGTTGTCATAATCCTAGGTTTTGTAGATACATTCTAAAATATATTTAATGTTGCAGTTCTGGAGACAGTCACTCTGTTTAGACCCAAACGTCATAGCTGGAAGGCCACGGCCTGTGCTTATTACTGCCCAGTGGGAGAAATGAAAGTCCCCAGTGTACACGCTGGGGAAACAGGCCCAGGGAGGTCCAGGATGTGGGGCCATGGCATGACCCCTGCCTTGTTCCCCTGGGGGGTTGGGGGTGAGTGGCAAGCAGGGAGTACCCGCGTTTCGGAGCAGGTTGTTCTGCTGGTAGGAGGTCAAGACTGGCTCGCACAGGGTGTCGTATGTCTCTAAGCCCTGGCGGAGGGCCGACTCACAGTCACGAACCCGGTGCTCCTTCTGGCCCCGATGCCACACTCTGCAGACCATCACATCCATGGAGCAATCAAACATGATGAGGTCTGGGGCCCGGCCCACCTCGGCACCCACAAAGGGGCTGGATGAGGAAAAGGCAAGGTGCAGTGGCTCCCTGACCACCCCCCCACCCCACCGACCCCGACATCAGGAGTCTAGGATTGTGCGGGCCCCCCCCGGGTGCATCTTGGTTTTTTTAGCTCCAAGTACGTGTTTTACGTGTTCATTTTTTTGGATGGGTAGGACATTGGCAGAGCTCATCAGTAAACAACGCTAACAGGGAAGAGTGAAGACTTGCTTCCTCACCATCCCCAGCCACCCAGTTTCAGCCTCCCAGGAGTTGTTTCTTGTGTCTCAGTCTGGAGTTATTTTAGGCATATACCATACAAGCAAATTGATTCTGATGTCCTTTTTCCTCCTTTTTTGTACAAGTGGTGAAGATACTGATTTGCCTTCAATCCTGTTCGCTCCGTATCACAAGATGACTCCGTGTCGGCACGTTAAGGAAGTTCCTGATTGTTACAGAATTCTGCTCTATGGATGTACCGTTTCTTAGTTCTAGGTTGGTGGATACTTGAATTGAAATATTCCTTCCAAGATGGATTTAAGCAGTCTTCAATTGCCTTCCTTTTGCCCAGATACTTCGCTGGGCAAGGCAGAGTCCCCAGCTCACCACTGCCCATACCACTGCCCTCCCCTCCCTGACTGGTCTCAGGAAGACCCTCCGAGATCTCCATGGCCGCCCACTGTGAGCTCTACCTCCTACTAGTTCCTCCAGAATTTCCTTGTAAAATAGACTCCACTGGTGCATTAAAAACAAAACAAAAACCAGGTGGGACTCATTCCAGGAAAGCAAGGATGGTTCAATACAATTTATTGTATTCACATCGGAGGGAAAAGTCATATGATCATCCTCATAAACACAGAAAGGGCAATTAACAAAGTTCAGCATGCATTCCAGATTCTTTAAGAGGGTAGGAATTGATAAATATCTTCAGCCAGGATCTTAATGGAAACTTGCTTCCGCACTGAATTGGGAACAAAATAAAATTGCCCACTCTTGCTCCTGTGACCTAGTAAGGTATAAGAAGGTTCGCTAAAGCAATGAGATTACGGAAATCAACTTGAGAGACCTGAATATGAAATAAGGGGGTAAAACAATGTCTGTTTGCAGATGATGTGATTATATTTTTGGAAAACTCAAGAAAATCTACAAACTAGTATAGACTTCAGAGAATTTGACAAAATGACAGGATATAGCATTAACACACAGAAGTCTGTAGCCTACGTGTATACAAAAATCACCAGTTAGAAAAGAAGGCCCCATTTGCAACAGCAACAAAATGAAATATAAAATGCTCAGGCAAGGGGCGCCCGGGGGGTTCAGTCAGTTAAGCATCT